AAAAAAAAAAGAAGAAGAAGAAGAAGAAGAGAGGTTTGAGGTCATATAGACTGGGTTGGAATTCCAGCCTGACTAGTGGCTGAGTGGCCTTGGGAAGTCACCTAACCTCTCTGAAGCTCAGCTTCCTTGTTTACAAAATAGTATAGTGATATGGACCTTGCAGGGGTTGGGAATCAGGAACACAGTGGTTGCCCATTGAAGAACATGAATAAGTGGCAGCTATTGTTACCAATATCATTCAGCTTCAGCAGCTGAGATTCTGTGATTTCATATCCTTTCCCTACCCTCTCGGACACCTGGTGGCACAACAGTTAAGTCCTCAGTTGTGAACTGAAAGGTTGGTGGTACAAACTCATCTGTGGTTCTGTAAAAATTATTGCCCAGAAAACCCTACAGGGCAATTCTACTCAGCCACATGGGGTTGCTATGAGTCTAAATCAACTTGATTGGGCCTAACAATAATCCCACACCCTCCAGTTCAAGGCCCAGTCTGGGTGGGCAACCTCTCTGAAGGAGCTGGACAGAGCAGCAGGAGACCGGAAGTACCAGATGGCCTGGATGGGACAGGAAACTTTGTGTCTCTGTTCTCTGCCACCATCTGGACAGGTTCATCTGGACCGTGGGCTATCAGCCCCTTTGCCTGTGACAATACCCTTACCTGTAATCTGGAAACATGTCCAGCTCTCTGGGGGTCAGCTTCCGAAATCCCAGAGCTGTATCTTTCCAGGAAGGGTCCTGCAGAGGATGGAAGGGGCACGGGGATGGGTGGAAATCAATAATAACAAGAACAACAACAACAACAAAGTCATGTAGAGGTTATTGTGTGTCAGGCACTTTTCTAAGCATTTGCTCATATCAATCCAATTAATCACAACAACCCACTGAAGTAGATGTTATTCTTCTTTCCATTTTACAGATGGACAAACTGAGGCCAAGAGAGGTTAAGGAACTTGTTTAAGTTCACACAGCTAATGAGTGGTGGAGCTGAGATTTGAACCCACACACTTTGTTGGCTCCAGAGTCTACGTCTTAATCACTATACTATAATAAGGATAAAAGTAAGAGGGAGGGTGAGTGATAGGGTGAAGGTCACAAATGGGGGAGAAGAAGGAGATGACAGTGAGGGTCACTAGGAAGTGAGAGAGTAGGAGGCAGCAGAGTGTAGGGTCAGAGAACTTGGTGGAGATGGCAGCTTCACCACTTACCACCTTGAATGGATTCAATGGACTCTCTGAGACTCAGTTTTCTTGTCTGTGTCATGGAGTTGGTGCTGTGAAAGTAACTGAGATTATGTGGGGTAAAACCCTTAGCTTTGTACCTGACACCTGCTAAACACTGAATAAACCATGGAGAGCTGGTGGAGGGGGTTCTGGGCACTGAGTCAGAACACCCTCTCCAAGCAGCCTGAGTACATCCTTCAAGCCTATGACATTCTCCTCAACACCCTGGGCACCATGTGGTCACCGACTCCCTGTCACTTACTAGCTTTGTGACCTTGGCCAAGTCACTCAGTTTCTCTGACCTTCGGTCTTCTCATTTGTAAAATAAGGATAATAATGACAGCACTTCAAAACACACACACACACACACACACACACCAGTTGCTCTCTAGGTGATTCCGACTCATGACAACCCCGTGTGTGTCAGAACAGGGCTGTGCTCCCTAGGGAAGGAGATTGCCAGGCCTTTACTCTGAGGGACCTCTGGGTGGACTCCAACCTCCAACCTCTCGTTAGCAGGTAAGTGCATTAACCATTTGTACCACCCAGACACTCTTAAAACCAAACCCAAACCTGCTGCCATTGAGTTGCTTCTGATTCATGGTGACGCCATGCGTTCCAGAACACAACTGCACTCCACAGAGTTTTTTTTTTTTTTTAAAGTCTGTGACCTTTCAGAAACAGATTGCCAGGACTTTCTTCCAATGCACCTCTGATAGACTCAAACTTCCAAACTTTTGGTTAATATTTGAGTGCTTAACTGTTTTTTTTGCCATCCAGGGGCTATTCCTGGTTATATTGTGAGAATTAAATGAATTGTTAGCTGTAAAGTTGTTAGGTCAGGGCCTGGCACATAATAAGTGCTTTAGAAGTTTCTGTATCAGTATTTTACTCCATCTTCATGTAAAGCCCTGTGACCTCCAGCACAGGAAACCACTGGCTTAAGCACTAAATGCCCAGCACTGCAGAGCATGCTTTACAAAGTCTGTGCAAAGAGCTCATTTCGCCTGTTTAGCATAAGAGTCGTAAACTCTGCCTACGTAATAACAATGCTTGCAACAAAAGTAATATTTAAAAGCAAAAGTGGAATTTAAAGTGAGCATGTTTTGAACCCAAGTCTGTTGCCTACAAGGTTCAAAGTTCTCCCCAGCCTCAGCACCTCCCCATCCCACCCCCACCCGTCTTTGGGCAAGGCTCACTCACCGGGACGGCTTTGTGGAAGAGGTTGTAGCCTGAGATTAGGGTCAAACCCATTTTCTGAGCATTGGGAGAATCAACGTGGCTCAGGAGATAGTCGAAGGTCTGCTGGCTCCAATCCCTGGAAGGGACACCCAGGATCTTGGTCACCTAATACCCCCAGCTGCACAAGGAAGCTCAGAGGGTTGGCTTGTATGAGGCTGTTGCCAGACTGGGGAAGACTTGTCCAAAGCCCAGAAATCTGCCACGTTCGCTCCTGCAAAGGCTCAAATGCTTACAGCTCCTCTGCCTCCTCCAACTTTCATGTATGTTTGTATGTATCTACATGTTAAGTATATATATGCGTGTGGATGTGCATACACACACACACACACACACACATACACAGTAAAAATGTGAAAGCCAGAACATGTGTAAAGTGGAAAACTGCCAGGAAAGAAAAACACAGATATTTTCCACTAAACCAAGTGAAAGTGACTGCAACCTACCAAAAGTGGAAAACTTGTAAGACCTGGAAAAACAAGGCCTGTTGAATACCGGCTCTCACAGGTTTCACGGTATTTTTGTTTTGTCTGCCAGGTTAGAGCCTCTGCAAGGGGCTTGTTCTTCATGACGGAACCCTGAGTGGGGCGCCTCTTCGGCAGACTCAGACCCCCAGGCCCCGGCCACCCTCTGGAACCCCCACTCACGCCTCCTGTGGGTTGTTGTGGTCCGAGAGGTAGGGCTGCCATAAGCCAGCAGCCACATCGGTGGTGGTGAGTGGGGTAAAGCGGTCTGCGTAAACCTTTATGTCCAGTGGCTGATGGGTCGAGTGGTAGTGTTCATGGATGCAGAGGGCTGTAGACAGTCCCATGATCCCTGCTCCAATCACCACCACACTCATCGTGCCAACCTGTGGGGAGGGAGGGTCAAGGCAACATCATCACCATCATCTCTCCACCATCGCCACCCTCTACTGAGCACTTAGAAAGCGCCAGCTGCCACTAACCCTGATGCTATCACGGTGATTCCAACAACCCTATATGACAGAGTAGAGCTGTCCCATAGAGTTTCCAAGCTGTGATCTTTATGGAAGCAGACTGCCCCCCCTTTCTCTCATGCAACTGCTGGTGGGTTCAAACCACAACATTTTGATTAGCAGCCAAGTGCTTAACCACCGTGCCACCAGGGCCCTGGACAGTGCTAAGCCCATTTTATATTTGATTCCCACAATGACCCCAGACGATAAGAATTACCATGTTCCCATTCCATAAATGGACATACTGAGGCACAGAGAGGCTAAATCACTTGCCCAAGGTCACGCGAAGTAAGTTATGCAGTTTCCTCTGGGGAGCCTCTCTGGGAAGCCCCCTTCCCAGGTTGGGGAGAGCACCTGGACCACTGGAGATGGTTAGGACAACAGGATCTGGCTTTAGAATCTCAGCTCTGCTACCTACTGGCTGTTGATCTCAGGCAAGCTGCTTCATGAATCTTGTTAGGGATTGAATTGCGTCTCCCCAAAATACACATTGTAAATCCTAACCCTTATACATGTGGATAAAAGAAGCTCTGATGGTTAAGGCATTGGGCTGCTGACCAAAGGGCGGTGGTTCGAGCCTACCAGCTGCTCAGGAGAAGAAAGATGAAACAATCTGCTTCCATAAAGATTTATAGCCTTAGTAACCCAATGGGAGTCACTATGAGTTGGAATTGACTTGATGGCAGTGAGTTACACGTGTGGATATAATCTCCCCTGGGAACAGGATTTTCTGTGTTAATGAGACCATATCAGTGTAGGGTATGTCTTAAACCAATCACCTTTGAGATATAAAAGGAGCCAATTAAGCACAGAGAAAGAAGACAATTGGAAGGGAAGATACACACCACATGACGATCACCAAGGAACTGATAGAAGTTGAAAAGAGACAAGGACACTTTCCTCCAGAGCTGACACAGAAAGAAAGACTTCCTTGGAGCTGGTGCCCTGAATTCAGACTTCTATCCTCCTAAACCAAGAGAACTCTTGTAGCATAGTGCCTAAGGCACTTGACTGCTAACCAGAAGGCTGGTGGTTCAAACCCACCAGCCACTCCTCGGAAGGAAGGTTTGGCAATCTACTTCTGAAGTGATACTGCCTTGGAAACCCAAGGAGGGGTCGCTGAGTCGGGTCCGACTCGACGGCACGTAACAACAACAACAACAAACCGACAGAGGACACATTTCTGTTTGTTAAAGCAGCCACTTGTGGTGTTTCTATTACAGCAGAGCTGTCACTAAGATAAGTCTCAAATTCTTCTACAAAATGAGAAAAAAAAAAAAAAAAAAAAACCTCTCATACTTCAGAAGGTCAATGGTGATTTAACAAAATGACAAACACGAAAAGCTTAAACCAGGACCTGATGCAACGTGAGCTGCTGGCCGTCGTGGAGCACCTACTGCCTGCCACTCAGTGCTAAGTGCTTCACGTACATCATCTCATCCAAGCCTCCCGACGTTCCTAAGAGCTAGGGGCTATTGTTATTGGCCCCATTTTACAGATGAAGAAACTGAGGGTGAAGCAACTTGTCTGAGAGCACACAGCCAGGAAGTGGTACCGCTAGGACTTAATTGCCATTCAAATAAAGTCCACAGCCATTTGTGGCACACCTGCTATGGCCCAGGCAGGTCTGGCCTCTGGCCCTAGCTCTTCCCGTGCACCCTGCCCCCCCGTGGCCTGCCTTGAGGCCAGTGCTATGCTGGCCGGCCTTCAGATGTTTAGATGGCCGAGCAGCTTTTGACCTTGAAGCCGCCTGGGCCGGCCCAGCAGGGAAATGTTTTGCCGGTTCCTGCTAAGGGGGAACAAGCGGACCCTTTGTACCCAGAATGGCCAAATTCAGCTTTCCCTCCTCTTGACTCAAACTCCCCTCCCACGGACCTCAGCTCCTGGCAACTCAGGCCCGTGGCCCTGCATGACAGGACATTCTCAATATGGCCTAGTTTGGGAAAGGCGGAAGAAACGGCTCTGGCCCACGAGAACTGGATACCGCTGGGGTTTCTTCAGCCAAGTTGGGGACAGAATCAGCAAATGGAAAGGCATTGGTCTTCTGCAAGCCATATTCCAGCAGCAGGCCTGGGTTAAGTTGGGGGGAAGACCCCTCGGGGACCCCTTCCACCCTTCTCCCCCATGTTTGCCTTGCAAAAAAAAAAAAAAACCAAACTCACTGACATTGAGTCAGATCCAACTCACAGTGACCCCTCCTTGAGTTTCCCAGGTAGTATCACTGTGGAAGTAGATTGTCCAACCCTCATTCCGAGGAGTGGCCGGTGGGTTTGAACCGCCAGCCTTCTGGTTAGCAGTCAAGTGCCTTAGGCACTACCCCTTGGGAGATTCTATCTCCTTGTCTGTGATGCAGCTCCCCCCATCACATAGGGTTGTAAGCATTAAATGTTAATCTTGGTGAAAGTTCCTGATAAGGTGCCTGGCACAGAGTAGGCCCTAGGTAAACAGTAAGCAGCCCCCAATACAACAATAAAAAATAAGAATAAACACTTTTTCTAAGACTTCAAAAAGAAATAGTTAAGTATCCTCCTTTTGCCCCCAGCACCTTGAAAATAACAGTGGAACAAGGATTGGACATAGTAAGGAGGAATGAGAGGTGATAGAGTCAGGCCTGGCTTTACTTCTGACTTGCTGTGTGACCTTGGCCCAATCACCACCCTCTCTGGGCCTTTGCCACCATACCAGACTGTCTCAGTAGTGATTCAAGTATCATTCCTGGAGAGCCACTCTTGTATGTTAATGATAAGAAGGCAGAGGAATAGAAGGGTTTTCTAGATTTTCCAAATCCCCCATTCATCCAGGGTGGCATGGCATGGGAAGCAACCATGTCAGCCTCGGTGGAGAGTCTGACTGTCCCACACGCCAGCTGTGTGAACTTGTAAAGTCACTTAACTTGACCAAGGTGACCAGCCACCCTAGTTTTCTGGGACTAAGGGGCTGCCTGGATGAAGATTTTCAGTGGTAAACCTGACAATGTCCCAGGCAAGCCGAGATGAGTTGGTCATCCTTACCAAGCCTGGTTTTCCTCTTTTGTAAACCTCTGGGGGCTTGTGAAGCAACCTGCCTCATTGTCTCCCCACCTGAGTATCCAGGAGCACAGGGATTTTTGTCTTATTTACTGCTCTATCCTCAGGGCCTAGAATAGTGCCTGGGCCATGGCAGGGGCTCAGTGAATGAATGAATGGAGTTCTTATCAGGATAAGAGAAAAAACTCAAAAGAGAAAAAACTTACACAGTGCTTGGGAGCCCATGAATGGCAGTGGTGATCATCACCCAACTTATGAATGAGGGGGTTGAGACTCTATGGGAGCAAACTACGTTATCTTAAGTCATGACAATGGTCAGAGGAGGCTGTGGCAGGTGGACCAAGCCCTGACTTTTCCAGGGATTCTCACTTTCAACAGTTCCACACCTCCCCGAACACCAGCAAAGGAGTGAGGGAAAAAACAGCACTTCATAGGATAGAAAAAAAGGAGTCCTGCTCGTGCAGTGGTTAAGCGCTCGGCTGCCAACATAAAGGTTGGCGGTTTGAACCCACCAGTTGCTCCATGGGAGATAGATGAAGCAGTTTCCTTCTATAACAATAACAGCCTTGGAAACCCTATGGGGCAGTTCTACTCTGTCCTGTAGGGTCACTACATATAAGAATCTACTTATGGCAAGGATTTCATGTAATGGGTATTGTGAGGGGTAGGGGAGTGCTTGACAGACCCTTAAGAAGCCTTGGGACAGTAAGAAAGATGTTTCTACCAAAACAGAGATGTCATGAGGAGTCTCACTGCAAACATGGCCGGTTTGGCCAGTGCCGAAGCTGGTTAGGAGAGGCTCCACGAGCCCAAGGGGAGGGCCGAGGGGGGATGCGCAGCAGTGCTGAGGCCACGCCTGGTGGAAACTCCCAGGATGTGCTGGCCAGGATAAGCAGGGACAAGCTGAGTGTGGCGCTCAACGGCTCCAGTGTGTAAAACGAAAGATGAGCTGGATGTTATTATAAAATCCAAACCAAGCCCACTGCCATGGAGTCAATTCTGACTCATAGTGACCCTCATTGGGTTGCCAAGGTGGTAAATCTTAACAGAAGTAGATTGCCCAGTCTTCCTTCCGTGCACTGGTTGGTGGGTTTGAACCACCAACCTTCTGGTTAGCAGTCAAATGCCTTAGGCACTGTGCCATATGCAGATAGGGAAAACTGAGGTCCAGAGTAGGGGAAACAGCCAAAGTCCCATGGTTATGACGAACGGGTTCGTGGAGTCTTGGGGTTAAAAGGCAAGCGTGTGGAGGTTGATCACTAGACTAAGTCAAGAAAACAACTGGCAGTGTGGAGGTAACAAAAACAAGCGCAGCTCCAGCTTTTTTTTTTTTTTTTTTTAACTCCTAGCACATATCAGTCATGGTACTAAGAACTTTACCTAAATCAATTTTAATAACAACCTTAAAAAAAAATCACTGCCATTGAGTTGATTCTGACTCATAGCATCGAGGCAATAAATCTTTTTGTGTGTGTGTGTGTGTGATTTGGGTGAAGATTTACAGAGAAAATTCACTTTCCATACAGCAGTTCACATACACTTTGTCTCATGACATTGACCACAGTTTACCACAATGCAACAGCTCCCCTCCCACTTCCTCCCATAGTTACCTCTTCCCAGTGTCCATCCCTCCATGCACTCCTGCCCCCTGAGCTGTCTCCCTGTACATAAGCAGCCCTTCTTTCTCCCATGATTGTTCTCTCCAAGGAGCGTATCTACCTGAGGTAAATGTTCAACTCATAATGAGGCAATAAATCTTTACAGGAATAGATTGCCCCCTTCTTCCTCCTGGGAGCGACTGGTGGGTTTGAACCACCAACCTTCTAGTTAGCAGTCAAA